TTGTTGGTGAAAATCTATATTACCTTCTTAAGTTTGTTTGCAATTAAAATAATAATGTCTTGCAATACTACACCTGTACGCAGCAAAAAGGTAATCATTTAGGTCGTTTTTTATCCCCTAAAAAAAAAAAAGTCAAACTATTTAAAATTAATATGCCATGCGGGCAACAGGCTATTTTTAACTATACAGTATACATGAGATTTCCATATCTACGTACTGTACCATCTACGCTCGTCCGTACATATAGTACTTTAGATGGTGTTATGTGTCATGTACCCACAAATAAAACATGAAAGGAAATAAGCAATCAATAGCTACGTACGTAAAATACTTTTTCTTCTTAGGGAAATGAAGTTACCCTCGTGGATTTTAATCATGTTTTAGGAATATAGGAAGATTCTGATAAATATGTATTTCAAATGCAATTTCTATGCTTCCAAACCATAGTTATGCAACAAAAATGTTACATATATATAAGAATTCATTGAGTCGCATTTTTAAAGTTTCATTTTGTAATTATAATTCACTTTAAATTTTTTGAGTGGTTATTATTTTTACGTCGGCCTTTTCCTAAAGAATTTGATCCGACAAAATTTTTATTTGTGCACCTCGTGAAATTTGTGTACTGTGTTGGTATTGGCATCACCATTACCAAAATTGAAACCGCCATCATTTGTGATTGGTTAAAAAAATGTATCAAACCTTAAAAAATGTTTCAAATAAATGGATTAATACATTATATATTTTTTCTCGTTAGCTTCACTTTTATTCACAAGAGATTTTTTTCTTTCAAAAATAGTTGCCTGTAACCGGGTAAAAAACAAAATTTCATCGTTTTTAGCAAAAATTATCTATTTTCTTAATTATCACTACTTTGTTTAGTAGAAATATGGAAATCTTTTCGATATCGATAATTTATGTATTATTTATATATTAATATTAATATTAATTGTTATATATTATTGTTTTTTAATTGAATTTAGTCTTAAACATATAACCAAAAAAAAAAATTATCAGTCATAATCCACTAAGTCTCCTTGTTACAATCGAACGATGGGCAACAAAAATTCTCGCTCACGAAGCTCACGAGCAATAGGAGGTCGTAAAAAATGTAAATACCCATATTTACATTGGAAACGTCGACATAACAACGAAATTTGGTGTAAATGTGATAACTATTATCTAACAAAAGGTTGGACTAGTGGTCATCGTGGAATTGATAATTTTATTAAAGAAACTCAATTAAATGCTAAAGATCAGTTGGATCCTTATCTGGAATGGGTTCCTTATGACAGATTAGCTAATATTAAAAAAATTGGTGAAGGTGGTTTTAGCGTTGTTTATTCTGCTGATTGGATTGACATGGATAAAAGAGTTTCATGGGGATCCATGATTAAAGGTAGACCCGTTGCCTTAAAGAGTATCAATGACTCAAAAGATATGTCGTCTGAGTATATTAATGAGGTAAATTTTGGTATATCATTTATGTTTCAATGTTAAGTTTAATTGCTGATTTTGCTATCATAATGTTTATAGCTTAAAATACACCATCGCTGTATATCTGCGACTCCTCCTCTCGATGGCGGAGTTAGATATGATCACGGATTTCTTCGTTTTTTTGGTATCACTCAAAATCCAGAAACAAATGATTACATCATGATTACTGAACTAGCTCCATATAAAGACATTCGTAACTTACTACGTCAAAATTTTACTTACCTAAGTTGGAGTGATAAATTATATTGGCTTCGTAATATCGCCGGTAATCTTGTAACAATTCATAATGCTGGTTACACTCATCGTAATTTACATCCTGGTAATATTCTAATGGGTCAAATTAAAGATGGCTTAACGGTGGCAAAACTCGCTCACTTAGGATTGTCACGTCCAGCTAAAAAATTACCACCAATGTCTTCTAAAGAATTTTATGGTGTATTACCTTACGTAGCTCCTGAAATAATATTGGGTCAAAAATATACAATGGCCTCTGATATTTATAGTATTGGAATTATAATGGCTGAAATTTCTACTTCTATACCACCATTTATTGATAGAGCTCATGATAATAAATTAGCATTGGATATATGTAATGGATTGAGGCCAGCTTTCGCCGAAGGAACGCCAAAATCTTACATTGAATTTGCCGGTCAATGTACAGATTTTAATCCTGTGGAACGTCCTTCTTCTGAAAAATTATTACAAATGTTTAATCATTGGTGGAAAATTACTCAAGATCCAGAAATCTTGGATGACACTTTTAATGCGGCTGATAAGATAATACCGAGTATAGATATCTCTTTCACTGCACATCCTGATGCGTGGTATAAGAGTAGATTACTTAATTTTGAAGGTGTTTTCGTTGAGGGTTGAATTCTTTGAGATATAACTATTGAAATATTAAAATCTCCTCACAAATCCACATATATTTATATTTATTTAATCAATATAACAAAGTTTGTTACGAATCTTTTTCCCGTATGCATGCATGCATGCATGTAATTTAAGCACTTTTTTGACGTTAATATAAGCATATTTTTCTTTTTGATATAAATAAAAGTTAATTTTATTTATTGTTTTTGGAGGATACTCGAACAATATATTATAAACTTTATTGCATGCGTACAATTTTGTTCACTCAAGGACTTTTTACATGATGTGAATAAAGATTCTGGTTGATGATTAAAATAAGTTTACTATTATTAGTGAAAATCGGTGTTGAAATGGTAAAATTGGTGAAATTAATCTCTCCTGCATCTCTAGGTGCGAAATCATGTTATCTGTTACGTATGTACTGTTCGTACGTACGTGTATGCGTACATACGTAACTAATAATATTTGATAATACCATTTTGCATAATGACGAAACACAAATCCTCGGATTCACTAATTTCCCTCCTTCAAAGTTCTCGTTGAACGAACGCAACTTTCGTCCTACCACAAAATCCGTCATCCAAAATCCCGACACTAAAATCCCAACATTATCAAAATCCCGAAATACCGTATTTTCAGGATTTGGTAATGCCGGGATTTTTAATGTCGGGATTTTGGGTGTCAGAATCTTGGAACCATCCTAGCATGCCCCTAATAAAAAAACGTTACGTAACTGAGCTTAAATTTTCTCCGAACAATTGTATATTAGCAAAATAAATAATTTTTTTCGAAAAAAAAATTTCAAATTTTTTATATGATTGGCAATCTGTGCAATACATCAATATTGACATTGTGTAGTAACCAAATAGCGTTAGAATAAAAAGCAAAAAAATTCATTTTCAAGGAGGTAACATAATGGTAGCAGAAAAAATTCGCGATCAGATGATCGTGACCCAATTAATATCAATAAACTTACATTAATAATACAGTAATGTTTAAATTGCATAAATTTTTTGTATGTTGATATTATATTCTGAGGTTCAGAACGATCAAAAATCATCTGATCGCGAATTTTTTCTGCCATCACTATGTTACCTTCATTTTCATTAAAATTGACTATTAATAAGAATATTATCGTCATTATTGTAACTGTATTTTAAATTAAAGCTCAATTACATAACTTTTTTTTAGGAGAATACTGGGTTCATCAGAATATTGGTATTATCGGGATTTTATACTATCGGGATTTTGATTTTGAGTGTCGGGATTTTGGATGTCGGGACTTTTGGTAGAACTTCGTCTCGTCTTTCATCAGATGAAATAGATTAAATCACTGATCGCTAAAGAATTCACAGATTAAAGTTATGGTTATCGTTACGCGCTACTTAGAATAAATTGCTATTATATTCACTAATTTTAAATAATAAAACATTTCTTATTCATATTATGTCATACCCTGGATACATATATTGCTGTATTGGAGAAATACAACACAATCGATTAAATAATTTTTATCAATTTTATCAATTATTTTTATTGTGCAAAGTTGTTAATAAACACACGATAATTAAATATTTTATTTTTTGGCTTATTTAAATACTGAAGTATTAATATAAATATGTTTGATAAAGTTATACAGTATTTCTATTGATTCTATTTTATTATCTAGCCTATTTGATTACGACTTCTTTATAAAAAAGTATTAATTCTTTTTTAACTAATTTATTTTAGTAAAAATTATAACTAATTCTAATTCTAGTAAACAAATATTTATATCTTTTAACCATAAAACTTTTATCAAATTTGGTTATTTTTTAAAATCTGTTGTTTTTTTGGCTACCATATTTTTCGCGTAATAACGCTCACCTGTGCGTTGTTTTGAGTATATGCACGTTATTTCGAGTACGCGCATGAGCGTCATTTTGAGACAATTAAAAAATTTTATGTAATTCTTGTATAAAAATAAACAAACAAAAATACTAAATTTAGTACTAAATAATCCATCATTCGAGGTTTAACAAAAGTTGTTCTGAAAAACAAATTTTTTTTGAAGTTCAAAGGTTTACTTAACACTAAATCCAGTTCCAAAGTTTTTCAATCTTGCTATCAATAAACATCTCTTACTATGGGGTGCATGCTATTTTGGGATGCGCATGAGCATTATTTTGAAACTATATATATTATTTTTATAGAGATGATTTTTGAAATAATGTTTATGAGTGTTATTACATGAAAATTTGATAGAATTAATTATATGGAATTTTCCAAAGCAGCCACAGGTAGTTGGTTTGCATTAACCTAATTTAGACTGATGATTTTCTAAAAATTAATTTTTCTTTTTTGAATTGAAATAAAAAAATTAGCTGCTTTATAGTTAAATTAGCCTAGTTTTAATTAATAGACATCTAGAGGTTTTGGCTGTGCTATGATTGATATCATTGCAAAAGTAATAACTATTTTAGAAAACTTTAAAGCATGTATATTAAAATTTTTTAAAAAATATATTTAAATACTATAGTTATATCTCTATATAATTAATTATATTAGTATGTTTTTAGCACTAGTATTAGCTATACAGCAGTGTTGTCACTGGAAGACTGGAATCCCACTGGATGTCCAGATTTTTCCAATGTTCCAGTGGTTCTAGTAAGAAATCCCACTGGAACGATTTTCTCACTGGAACGTATTCACCTGATTGGCTAATCTAAATGTGATTATTGGCCAAT